GTTACTCGTGGTTTAAGGTGAGTCATAGTGTGTCTGGCATCCTCGTTACGGTAGATGGTCGACGGCTATAGTCACAAGTGATCGAGTGCTAATGGATGATTTTAGGACTGTAAATTAAATCTCCCAAAGAAACGCATGCAGTCCAAATAGAGTATTTCTTTATGTGTAATGCCGTTGGGACTACCAACCAGTACGAAGATCACAGTGTCATAAAACGTGGTTGTCAACCGAGGACTAAGATCACTGAAATATCGACCTGAGTAAAGGTAAACAAAACGTATGACCATCTGCTCTACTGATAGCCGTGAACAGTGAACACGAAATTGACATTTTATTGATTAACAATGCACGATAGGCCCATCACACTGAAAATTACGAGGCTATTGGGCTAAGATTAACTTTCTATCCAATCGATTTCGCAGACCAAGTAGTAAGAAACAGCAGGAAATTAGGTGAAATTAACCTCTTTCTCGGCACACATGTTCCAGCCTTAAGGTTAGTTAGCGCCGATTTAAACAAACTGAATAAGAGTTAATTCGTAAAATGGAAAGTCAGTCCACATTGTGACATAATAAGTCAGGTACAGTCCACTATGGGAGGTCAAAACGCTGACAGAATGGGAGACCTTATTCGCGTACTTGATAACGTAAGCCGTGCACATTATGTTCCGGTTCCCAATTATGGGTAGCAAGCATCACGGTTGAGGCGTCTGATGAGCCTACACGACTCTTTGTTTATTGATTTTTCGTCCGAGGATGCATATTTTATCGATAATCTCGATAAATTCTATACCACCGTTTCATGCCAGATTATTGCTAAAAGACTAACCACCAGTATGGAAAGGATTAGCAACCCGTTAAAAGGTTTGGTCTACACAATTATCTCTCAACGGCGTCCGGGTTGAATGGCATTCAGCCAAGCACATGAAAATTTTGCGGAACCTTTTAGATACTCGGGCAAGTTGAAGGATCACCGTGTGAGCTTTTAAATTAAGGCATTTTTTGGGAGTTCGTACGATTTTTACTGTGGCCAATTATCTTAAATGTTGCAAAACAGTTTACAACATACGCCATTTGACTAATGTGTAGTATATTATTCTGCGCGCTAAAGTCAACCTCATTTAAGGGCTACTTCAGACTGGATTTGATTCCCAACAAATGCGCAGCACGATGTTTAGAAATCACTGGAAAAGGTAGAGTTTAGATACTGTTTTTATCTATAGATTTCTCTGTAATATTTTTGGAAGCTAGCCTCTTTCTTGCACGTACTATATTTAAAAAAAACACTTAGCTCCTCGTGAAGTAAGGAGAACATTATAAGAATTCATTTTCCAGTGAATCAAATTTACTATATGACGACATAGAAAACCGGTCGAAAGATGCACACTACTCAAGCAGCGAATTTTTTTCCAAAATTAATTCTTATTGAAGTGAAGACACCCGTGTTGTCGACGAATATATGGAAGAAGATGAGGTTGGCGTCGGAGAATCCATCAAAACTGCAATTCAGCGAATTCCTCACTACAAGACCAAAATGCCTTAATGGTCATGTTTTGAAAGTTTGCAAACTGATAGGATACCTTGGTCCTCATGTCGAGTTAATTGGGATACCTGAAGGATTGATGGTCAGAGTGCAGAGGCTTCTCCTTTTCACCTTTATGACGCTCCTGCTAATGAAACCTCCGGACCACCAATATAGAAGCATGGAACGCGTAGTGAGGACTTAATCATGTGTGGCACGCGTGGACGAGCCGTATAGTTTTGTCAGCTACTGCCCTCGCAAATACCTCTGGTCGTTCAGAAATTGTCTTGCCATCAGAGACCGGTGTGTGAAGGAGGGGACGGTGCCTAAGAAGGTGCTCAACTTTTCCTTCATCCAAACTATAAATTACAACGGATATGTTTTGACAGCCCTGTCTCTCCCTCTTCCTCATATTTTTCCTAAAAACGTAAGTATAGAGGCACATTTTTCTCCCCATTCATTACTCTTTTGAACATTTTAGGCAGCAGCACTGTGGTCGCATATCAAAACGAGAGTTTCTTCGCTTTAAAGTGCACCCGAACCAATGCAACATTTGAAGGAGATCTGCTACCATGGAACGAGTGCGCATTCAGTAAACGGCATTTGAATTTCGCATAATCAAAAATTATTAAAAATTCTGAATACGTAATATAGGGAATAAAACACCTTTGAAATGATGTTTTGCCTTTGCTTTCAAGAAATACAGCGCAAAAAACAAAGTACTTATTAGTTATCTTCGTATTTGCACAATATGATTTAATTGTCGAGGATGTAAGTGATCTTTGCATTAGACCAGGGAGAATTCCCAAGACGCAAAAATAAGTGGGAGTAAACATAACACAAGATTAGAGGAAACCATTTCTCTATTCCTGAGCTTTTTTATTGGTTACTGGCATAATCTGCATCCTCCGGGAGTATATAGTCCTAGGGCTGTTGTTGCCTGTTCATCTTCATAACATTGTCTGCTGATCATTTCCATCGATGTTCTCAGACTTTCGTCCTCTGGTGGCTGAATACACTTGGAGCACTGGGAACTTGATAATTTAAGAAGACAATTTTAGCAAACGTACGTTTCTGATTATCTATCAACAGGCCTGCGCAGTGATCTATGTGAATGTAGGAGAAAAAAAGCGTAAACTGCCAATGAGTAGAAAGCATGGAAAAGATGTTTGAGGGCGGTCAGAGGTCAAGACTTAAGGTCTATTTTTGTCATGTGTTTAAAGAGGGGAAGAGGAATAGGACATCCATAAAGACCGGGCTATTTCCGTATCTGACGATGGTTTCGAGTAAGAATCCGAAACGCCATGCGGAGAAAAAAATACTGTCCTAACGATCGCGTTTATTTCTTCTTACTCCCCATTCTTTTTCCAAAACGAAAGTTAACTATGGGTGAGTTTGAATCACTTCATCCGAAGATGAAGCTTAGTCCTCTTCCTCACCAACCGAAGTAGGAGTATATGCACTCCAGCTAAGCTGAAGAAAGACCTCGCTCTTATATGAAATACTATAAGAGGCTCTCCCGAAAAGTAAATCAGGAAATATGCAGAGGAAGGGTCCACAAAATTGGACGTGCTGACGGCCGAGAGAGAAGTATGTTTTTCATTGCTATTTTGCGGAGATCCATGAAAGGAAATTCATATCGCCGTTTAAACGCTGCTATCGCGCGCACGTCTCCAGCGAATAAAATGAGTCTAGCTTTCTCAGGCACTTAATTTCCCATTACTGGAGGTAAAAATAGCCTGCTTGTTCAGATTTCTTCAGTGTGCATCTGCGCCTGCACTTGCTTTTGGGGGGCAGGTTATATTGGGCGAACAAACAGGCGCCTTTTCAAGCGAATGCGGGAGCAGCATCCAGTCCGACTAAATCGAGGCGTAGAAAAGTTAATCTATAGAGCAACTTTGAATCAACTGGATGACCGCGGACACTGGGTAGACGCCCAGCAGTCATTCTCAGTCATCCATACAGTGCCGGAGAGACATTACAAGTTCCGGCGTCCGAGGCATGTGCTGTGGCAGAGGTAGTGGCCAAAGGGTTAGCCAACCCAACATTGTGTTCGCAGCAAGCGTTTAGATAAGCTTTAAGGCTGCCCTAAGCCTAGCTGAACCCA